ATTTCAAAACTTTATTGAGATATATGTTGAAATAGACTGTGGTCAATCTTCATCTGCACCTATGCATGAAAGAAGTCAAAGTCAAGAAGACAGAGTGGTCGGTTTATCTGCACTTGCACCTGTCTTAAGTCAGATAACAATGAGGGAAATAGACGAGGATGAGGATGAGCATGAGGAGGATATGGACAGTGAAGACGACGGTGAACCCGAGAGTGTTATTCCGCTGGGTGACACCTCAGATACGGACGTAGAGGGGAATTTTGACGCTGACACAAGTTCAGGAAACCTGAGTTCCCAGGTTATGCCACCACTCCGTGTTGACCCTATTAGCAGTGGTAAGATAGTAAATTAAAGTTTTTAAATGAATATTTCATATTTGTGTTATCATTTGTACTGACGGATAACTCTTGTAATTTGGACGTAGGTTCCGAGATTGAGCCGTTTTGGAACGAAAGCCCACATTATTCCTTCATTAATTGGGCTCACCCTAATGATGAGACGGAGATATTGTATGGCGACGATGACTTCCACGGTCGCTGGCAATTAGGGGATCCATTATATTTGTACCAGGAGTTTCGAAGTAAATCTGAAATGCAACATGCAGTCAGATTATATTGTATGAAGGCTCATCGTACTGCTGTGGTGGCAAAAAGTGATGACCATAGATTTGTGATGAAGTGTGGACACCATAATGATGGTTGTCCCTGGTACGTGCGGGCTATGTTGCCCAAGAATGGAAATACTTGGGTTGTTAGTAAGTGGGCTAAAGAACACACCTGCCTAAACCAAGGCCTTACCCGAGACCATAGACAGCTGGATTCTGATGTAATCTGTGCAGCCATTATAAGTATGTACACCGACGTGACACAGATTAATCCTGGCTCATTATAAGTATGTACCCTTGAACCTTCCATGTACGTGTCTAAACCTTTCATTCCCTTTCTGGATATGACTCTTCCTTCATTTTTTGTGTTTCAACGCCATTTTTCCTATTTTCTTCATCGTGGCATTTATGCCTTTCATGACATCACGCAATGAAAACCCACCCTCAGGCTCAGCTATATCCTGCAAGTCAGTCTCATGATCATCGTCATCATCATCCTCTACCTCGGGCTCAACCATGTCTGCAAGTGGAACAACATCAGGAACTTCAACATCAGCCGCACCTGTGAACTGCCACACACCCGTTTGTATGTTCTGTCATCTTGCATTGCTCTAGTAGACACTTTCCAAACTTGCAATTATACCTTGTGGTCTTCTTCAAGGTCACATTGCCTATGGGAACACCAAAGTGACCCAATATCCTCTGAACAAGACAAGCAAATGGTAGTGCACCCTTGTGTTTGGCCTTAAACATCATCCAACAGATGTAGTGCCTCCAGTTCACCGAAGTACCATATCGGATAGCCCACATGATGGGAATGTCATGTTCCAACACCCTGGAGTGATTGAACGCTCGCGGAAACAGAATGTGGGTGATGACATAGTGTAGTATATGGGACTCCACAGTAAGCAACCCAACCGTATAGTGCATGTGTTGCCCACGGACTCTTCTCTGCTCCTGCACGGAATCACCTCGTGTATATCCTGGAAGTGTGACACTGCTATCTGCGTCATATTCCACATTCTGCGCAGAATCAAAGTTATACCCCAGTAACTCCAACCATACCGGAGCCGTCATGATGATCTCCACCCCGCAGACCCTCGAACTCAGCTCACCCTGTACGTAGCTGAGGTTATGGTAGAAGGCACGTACATGTAGCTCTGAATATGGACACAACAGTTCAGCCAAAACCCTAAGATGTGCTCCCTCCAACCAGCTCACAATGTTAAAACCTTCCGCTTCAAAAAATGTTGTATCAAGTGATTTGGCCAGACATATGGGTCGGTTAGCATGGTCATGGACAAATGCATCATGAACCAAGGGGTCATGCTCGAACAAGTATCCGAATGGGAGGTCAACAAGAGCAGGCTCTTCGTCTTGTGGCCTTGACGAAGACGGTCGGTCTTGTCGTACCTTTGTGCGTCTCTCATTTTCCACGTTATCCGATCTTCTACAGCCAGCCATGGGAACAACGGTACCTACAATGCAAGTGGAACCAATCAATGGACAATAACGATATCAAAAAATTTCAAAATTCAATATAAAAATCAAACCCTAACCCTAACCCTAACCTTAACCCCAACCCTACAATAAAACAGCCAACACACCCCATAAACCCTAACATACAAACAAAACCCCTAAGCCTAAACCCTAACCAAAAAATAAAAACCCTAACCCTAGCCCTAACCCTAACCTAACCTAACACATAAACCCTAGCCCTAACCCTCACATCAAACTCAACACCCTACTCCTAACATAAAGCCACAAAAACTCAAACAACCTTCTACCATAAACAAGAAATTAAAAAAAAAAGTAAACCAAAGCATGGAGAAAACAAAAAAAAAAAAACAAAACTTAAAACCAAATGCAAGTAAAAAAAAAACGTTACCTACAATATCAATTTCGCAAGTTGTGAACCAATGATGGTGCAATCGGACCTTCAAGGGGATGGGATTCGGACTTGGTTGAAGAGAGGGGTTCTTGGAGCCTTTTAATCGACTAGGGTTTGAAAATAACCCCCTTTGCGAAATGGGGAGGTTTTTAAAAAATCGGATCTGCGACTTTTAATCGACTAAATAAAGTCCTTAGTCGATTAAAAATGCTCGAAATGTAGTCGATCAAGGTGATGATGTAGTCGACTAAATCTCGTGATTCATGTTTTCTGCATTTTGACCATTTAGTCGATTAAAAGTGCAAGTTGATCGACTAAATGGGGACATGATGGTGGATAGTTCTGGGAGAGGGGCAAATTGGTTATTAATTAATTAATGAGGGGCAAAAGGGTCAAAAAGCCCAAGTTTGTTGTATGTCATTATTACGATTTGAAAGCTTTATATTACTATGTATATCTTTTGCTGGTAGATAATATATGAAACTAAATTTGAAAAAAATTTATAAACAATAGCATACAATACAGTTAAGATACAATATATAATATTATATGAAAATCAGATTTTAAATTAAAATAAATATATTAATATTTCATAAATTAACTTTAATTGTTATAGATATAACAAGTTATTATTCTTAATTTAATTATTGTGATATACTACGTAATATAAAAATTTAAAAATAGAAGCTAGAAATTTATAAAAAATAAAAAATGTAATATAATGCCTACCTAATAGTTATAAACCTATTTTAAAATATATCTAATTACACTTTTCAGTTGTTTTACTATGGTTAATCTACAATACTTGTTTACGAGGGCTTAAATATGGTTAATGCCATCTTTGGAATTTAAGTAAAGAGTAAACACTCTTTTTAGTCTCTGACAATATCTACGAAGTCCTTTTCAGTCCCTGGCAATAAAAAAGGACCAAATTGGTCCCTGAAAGTACAAGAAAAGGGCCACTCTACATATTTGGGAGTTGACATAAGGACTAACATGACTCTTTTTTTGTAATTTCAGGGACCAATTTGGTCCTTTTTTATTGCCAGGGACTAAAAAGGACTTCGTAGATATTGACAGGGACTAAAAAGGTGTTTACTCTTAAGTAAAAAAAAGAGGTTTAAGAATTTTTGATAAAAAAACTGACATTATAGTAATTAAAAAATAAAAGATCAAATAAAAGTAAACAAATATTAAAAGACTAAAATTACCCATTAATAATAATAATAAAAAGACAAATTTCAATTAAGCTCTTAAAATATTTGTACTTCCTAGCTGGATAACCATTGATAGATTGTTTGTTTCTGCGTTTGAAAGGATCCAAACCGCTGTTTGAGATATTTTATGTTTTTGGGTTATGGAAAAACATTTTTTCCTTTTAAAGGAGAAAAATTATTTCCTACCAGTGACTCATAATATAAGTAGGTTTCACGTTGAATTTTATTTTTTCTCTCCAGTATTTTGTGAACCGCATTTATCTATGAGTTATTAGTAGGAGAAATTTAAAAGGAAAAAATGTTTTCGGTTTGGTTATTGGGCCTTGTGCCTACGCTGAACAAAACCATAAACAAACAGAGGAGAATTGGCCATTCAATTTCACCGACCTCACCTAAAATTCTTTTCTTGTTTCTTGAAAAAAATTAAATGATTATTTGGTTCTAATTCTCCCTTTTCCACACAGGAGACTCGATATAATGTGACATCGATACGTAAATATGGTAAAAAAAAAATTGGTACATAAATATGGTAAATTTTAACAATATAAAACATAATATGATCGAAAAACAATATATAAAATTAATATAATTAAGAGTAAAATTCAAATTTTAAATTTAAATTAATACATTATTTTGAATTTTAAATTTAAATTAATACATTATTTTCATATGTTAATCTTTGATTATTGTATATATAATACAAATTTATCCTTTACATAATATTTATCATATCTATTTATATTGATATAGTTTTTTTTTTTTTTAAATTTAGACTAGGATTAATCAAAAACTTTCCACAAATGTCTATTAATTTTCTGCTCAGCCAAGAATCCCTTTCAAGAACCACCACTTTCTGCAGTGGATAGTGTATTTTGTTTGCTCATGTAATGCCTGTTGAACAGTGCTAATATTTCGCAACTGTGACCTACAATTTATAAATAAAGTATAGAAGAATTATCTTGATTTCAATGTTATGTTATATTTCAGTGTTTGAAGTTCTCCTTAGCCTAATAAGTTCTCATTAGGTGTTACATATATACTCCCAAAGAAAATCTTATAAACTTAAAACATAGACAAATATTTACAAGCCATGATGAAAGAACAATGTGAACTCAAAAATATTGCATAGATATTGAAATAATTAACTTCTATAGGTAACAGAAACCTAGTGCTCACAAAAGATTGAACGTTCGCTGAAAGAGAGTTCAAAACCATGAAATTGTATGAAGTATAGAACAAAAGGAAATAAGCATGATTGAGATGGTAATTTATTTTCAATTTAAACAGTTACTTGCAAAGGCATTGTGCATTTTCAAACTTATTATTGTTGGACACATGACAATGGCAAATGAGCAAAGAAGCACAAAGTAGAGGCAAATTGTTGTGCATGCTTAGAATAGTGGTAAGAAGCAAAAGGGAAAGAAACATTAACAAGTTACAACCAAAGAAAGTTTTTAATGGAGTTACATGTTACTCTTTCTTTTCTTCTTTTTCTTCCTTTTTTTCCTTGGTTTCTTTCACCTCCTTGACTTCCTTCACCTTAGCCTTCCCAGTCTTTGGCTTCATGAAGCAAAAGCATGAGCAGCAGGGGCACTGGAACAAGAACTTCATTGCCTAGAGCTTAGATCTCAAATTCCTGAACAAGAAGAGAAAAGTTCAGCTTTTGTGACCTCTTTTTCTCTTCTTTTCTTTGTTTAATATTTTGTGCTATTTAATTCCCTTTACTAAGCAGTGTCCTTTGGATTCCATTTCAATCACTTTCAATGTGGATGCCTTATCTAATAATGCCAGCTTTAGAGTGATGATGGGGTAGTGGGGCTAGGCTAGCCATGTTGAAAATGGGGTTATTAGTCCCAATTGTTGCCCCTTTGTGGGTCAGCTTGGCCATGCTTAATGGAAAAAAGAGCACAACTATCTCTTCTTTCTTGGTCCACCAAAAAGGCTCCTCCTAAGCTGGCAAGCATTTGAGGTATAATTCTATATGAAAAGGGTGGTTTTAGATTTCAAACATTAGGCCTATTTTCATTATGCGGAACCCGGTTTCAAAGCTCAGTATTATAACAATTTGAACAAGAAGCTTAACTACAGTTTATCCTTTACCAAATATCACATAACTCTAGTCTTCTTCTCTTCTCTGTTTAAGTACACTATGACATCTCATCCTAAAATTCTCTAAGCAATCTCAAAGGCAATGGGCGGAGCCAGCTCAAAAATTTAGGTGGTACCAAAAAATTTGACATATTAAATTATTAAAATATTTATTATAATTATACAAATTTATCAGAGAAAAAATTTACTATGAATGCTAACATAGTTATTTAAATTATGTACTAAATAATGTTTACCAAAAAGGTCAGTGCATTTTTATATGTTTGCTTTGATATATAATCAACGTTAATTGTTCATTTGAATTTTTAATATTATGTGACATTATTTAGTACATACAATTTGACGTGAGAATTTTACTTTCCTCCCACAACATAATAAGTAATGAACCAAACATTATCCTAAGGTAAAAAATTTGTGATTAAGTTTAGAAATAGGTCAACTAATCATTTTTGGGATTAAATTTAGAATTTTTTTTTTAAATAATAGGAGTAAGAATAAATAACATAACTGATTAGAATAAAGCTGGAAAAAAAATATACAGGGTAAAAAATAAAAAAAGGTAAAACACAAAAATAACAATACTATACATGTTCCTTATTATTTGTTTGCATTTAGATAGTTTGTTGTTACTTTGTATTGAGTATTTAATTTTCAATTTAGGTGGTGCCAAATTATAATTTTTACCTTGATTAATTATAATTAATTATATAATAAGTAAACAAAAACAAAAAATAAAAAAGTACCAAGGCACTTGCTGACTCGGCTGTAGCTCCGCCTTGAAAGGGGTGGCAAGACTTGGCGAGCAGACTATGTTCAAGAGATTGCTGGTTTGATTCCTAACTTTGGGACAAGTGATAAAAATTTTCACGCTCTAAACCATAAATGAGATTAATCTAATGCAAATGGATGGGGACACCCCTAAAAAAAATCAATGATAAAAAACTTCGCGAAGTCATAAATGAGATTAGTCTCATCCAACTGAATGAGGATTGGGGACGTCTCTAGAAAAAAAAATATAAAAAAAATCTCTAACCAATATAGAAATTGTTGTCGGATGAGAATGAAATTTACTTTATCTTTGTAATGATGTTGAAGTGAATTGGATACAAATTCCCTTCGGTTTTTCGTAATCGGGGCATCATGTATAGATAATTCAATAAACTCCCATTACCAAAGTGACCATCCACTATTATTTTTCATGCATAAAAATATGGGAAAATATTTTCTCATGTTGCATAAGAATTCAACTCTCATGTTGTGATCTTTCGATTTGCGTGCAAAGTTTTTCTTTTCTTTTTCTCTTTTTAATAAATGTGGGGTCCACTATTAGTTGAGTCACAACATGAGAATTCAATTCTCATGCAGCATGAGAAAATCAAATCCCTAAAAATATATATTTCACATTGTGTAAAAGTATAAAATGCTTTACCTGTTGATATTTTATTTGCTAGACGTGGGTTGCTATTGACCAGATTAATCTTATCAATTTCAGTGGAATTCAGGTCTTAAACCTATTATATATGCAACATGAAACAGTGCGTAGCTAGACTCAGACAAAATACAAACCAAAACAGAACAAATAGCTGTATACCCTTCAGCAATTTGCCCCACAAGCAGACAAAAGGTACACATGGGCTTTTAAAACCTTATATTTACGTATCCTTTTGTAACAGATTAATCTCATCAATTTCAATGAACTTTAGTTATTATTAGCCTATCACATGTGCAAGACTTCAAATTGCATTTGATATAAGAGATATTTTTTTTTTTACCAAGAAAAAAAAATTTCTAAGAATATGGTGGGCAGGTAAGTTACAAAAAAGTATTTGATAAATTAAACTTTTACCAAAAAAGTTGAGTTAATTTACTGATGTTATGTTTGGTTGGTGATAAAATATTGATAGGATTATGAAGTAAAATGACCAATATACCTTTTAATTTTGAATCTTGAATATCTTCACTGACATGAAAAAGTTCGTTTTAGGACACCCATTTCTTTCTATCCGAACAATTTATTCACCTCTCTTCCTTTATATGTTCAGTGTAGTGATAAGTTGGGACTAAGTATAGAACTGGGTTCTTTTGCTTCTGCAGTGATGATTGCAACCACTCATCTGGCTCAACATACACTAGAGCAAGTAAGGGTATATACAGGATGTGGAAAATACACTCTTTGGACCAGAAATATAAATAAAAAAGAAGAGATATATTTATCTTTCCACCATGAACCTTGCTTACTGCTTTGCTTATTTTAACGCACAGGGCCAGTCCTACAGCTCATAATCAATCCACCGCAAGATGAAAAGAAACACAGATCTACGGTAAATGAAAACAAGCCAGAGACAAAGAAAAAAGAAACAAAGGAAGAATTGGTGAATCTTGGGAAGGACGAAGAGCAAGAGTATATGAAGTCGAAGAACAAGCCCTCTGTTGTTGTGCTGCAATGCACATGGGTTGAGATATATTGTATGATGAGGGCAATTTTGCCTCCAAATTTGGTTGAGCGAATCTGAATAGTGGGAAGAAAAAAAAAACCATGGGTTGAATGGTATTGTGTTTAAAGGATGTGTAGTTGAAAAAAAAAAGATGATAATCTTCCTTTTCTCCCGTACGGAAAGTAATTTTCCTCACCCACTTTCCCATCATTTCAAACAAATAACCCATATCAAACACCCCATCAGTACATTTATTGACGAGCACATATCCAATTCAATGAAGTCTGCAAGCTCTTTGTTTGCCAACCTGTATGTTGGACAAGCAATAAATTAGAACAAGATTATGAATATGATGAATGGGTCTAGCTATCTTTGACCAAGAGAAAGAGAAGAAAGAACCATAGAGGGCAATGGAAGAGAAGGAAAACAATGGAGACAAAACAATTATCATCTTCAGTTTTTAAGACATCTTTACTGGGCTTAAAGATAAGTTCAAAATTAATTTGAAAATTGTTATGTAAGCTTCTCTTGCTCTCTTTTTTTTTTTGGGATAAAATTGTCAGCGGGCCTAAGGAAGTCTACGGCTGAAGATAATTATTAATGGGTTAAGATTTTGATACTATATCTCAATTCAAAATCTTAAGATATTAGGTTTATAGATTTTTCACTTATATATATTCCACTTAGTCTATTATCAATTAATATGAGATTTATCACACCTGAATATTTCAACAAAAATATTCTTCTCTTACCTGGGAATTATAAACCATTTCTTGAAGACACGAGTATATGACATATAAGAATAAGGGAAATTGCTATGAAATGCTTATGTTGATTTTTTTTTGGTTTATTTGATTCAAATATTACACATCTCCAAAAACATTATATACTATTATCATCACCCCATAACAAATGACATTGTTGATAAATGATAATGAGTTGAACTGAATATCTTGTCCTTCAATTTTAATTCTACAAATACCTATCAATATATTATACTTTTTTTTTATTCTATTGCTATATAATTCGTGTGCTTTGCCCCTTAGATTTTTTATGGTTAACCGATGAATGTGTGCCCATTGGGCCATAACCTGGGATGACAAGTACAAGTTCCACAGAGTTTGGTAGTATCACACTGCCATTTGCTCCTTTGTGGGCCAAGAATACTACTATTTGGGCTTTCTTTCACATCTTCAATGGGTATCCTCCTTATCTTTCCTTTACCCACAACCACACCCCTACTATAAAACACCGAAAAGAGAGAACAATTGGATATGATTACAAAAACAAAAAGAACTTAACAAAGAAAAAGTTGTGTATTGGGCTAGCTTTCTTACCCCATAAGATACTCTAGCCACCTCTACAGTTCAAATTCAATTTTGTTCGGACCAAGAGTATATTAAGTTAGCAATCAAAAGAAAAAGTGAAAAGCTAAAGCATATATGCCATTTTTACTTTCTTTTTCTTTTCGTTTCTTTATTTCATTGAAAGGTAGACGAGGGAGTTTGGAAGACGATTGCCTGTACTTGTTCTTTCCACAGTTTTTTGTGCATCTTCCTTATTGAGTATGTAATTTGCTTTTAATCTGTATTTTAGTTTGTATACTGCAAAGAGACAAATAGAATCTAATGTGAGAACTCTAAGTACGAGGGTTTAATGTCTCTCATATTATATAAAGAGATAAAATTATTCCTTATACATATATAAAAGTGTGTGAGGCTCATATTTCTATTTTTTCTTTCTTCTCTTCACATCGTGTCAGTGAGCTCTACGCACTTTTATGTATATGTAAAAAATAAAATTATCTCATATAACATAAGTAACATCATACCCTAAGTATAAATATCTAACTAAATGTGCACTTTGCCAAATCGGCAGTTAATATTTAAAAAAAACAAATCACCTAGATGGTGGTCATCTAGGCATATACGAATTAGCAGCGACATTTTGTCTAGACAAAATTACACTTCAATTTAGAATAAAATTCATATACAATTGTAAAGAACCTTGGGATACACCACCCCAAAAGCTAGCTCAAAGGGTGAGAGTGCCCAAGGCCTTATTAACTCCACATTAGTTACACATACAACTAATGTGGGACTATATATCTCAACACGCCCCCTCACACAAGAACCCT